ACCAGGTTGTTGTTTTCCTGTTCCTGCTTCATTTTTAATTAGCTTACGTTGTTTTCCAAATTTGGGCAAGATCCATACATCTCTTTGTGGAGATACTAGTTTAATTAAACACTTGAACATCCATCTTGCACCAGACATGGGGCTATGGAGAGCATGAATGGTCAGGTTCCCAGCATAGGATGCACGCCCGTGCTTTAACTCCACTCTGTGTTGTGACTTAGGATTTTAGATACAGATAAAAACAGAGACCACTCACTGTAGACTTGAGGACAGAGCCTTACTCGGGTTCAGTCCAGAGAACTGACTGTAAGGCCAGACCCCAATTCGTAGTGGAAAAGGCTGAGAGACAGTATGGTGAATGCTTAAGAATCAAGTTAGAGCCAGCCGGCCTCTTGTTTTACCACAGAGTGTTGATGTTTTTGTTGGAGGCCTGAGCACATCCTCCTTCTTCTGGTTTCTCCATGGCTATTTGCTTGTAGCTGTCTCCTTGATATCCTTGTCTCTGCACCATTAGTCTGGCCTCCTCCACATCGAGCCCTCAGTGAGTGAGTGCTCGGTGAACATATCCACACTGGGACCTCACTACCACTGCTGTCTTGGCCACAAGCTCTCGGGCATTCCTCACTCCCCTTTCTCAGCCACCCTTTGCAGGAGTTGGGCTGCATGGCCCCTGGATGCTCTCTTGGATTCTTCCAGGGTTGGAAGCTCTCTGGGGAGTGACTGGATAGTGTTTTGGGAGACCCTTCCTGACCCTTCCACTGATGCAGGCTGGCTGTATTAGTGCTGTTATTATTGGAGACTCATCAAAGCCACTCCTCTTCTTCCTGGTTCAAATTCAGCTGGATCCATTGTCTGCTGTTACCCTGCTGCATCTGCTTCAAAGCCAAACAATTTACGCTCATGCTCCTGGCGTTAAATGTCAGAGATTGCATTTCCGTAACCAGCTCCCAGGCGAAATATCAGAAGGTTCATCCACCGGGCTGATTCACAACCCCAGGGTCATATAACGCCCATCACAAAGGCAAAAGAAGATGAATCAGTGCAGCTGCCCTCAGGGCTTTGTCTCCAGTGGAATTCATTCCACTGCCTTGCCTTCAGTTTGTTTTTTTTTTTCCCTCCTCATGTAGGCCTGGCTTTAAAAGAACAATTTGTGGGGCTGAGATGATCCAGTTTTTAAAGCCACTTTCTGTGCAAGCGAGAGGACCCACATTCAGGTCACCAGAACCCATCCTTTACCGGTTGGCACAGTGGCCTGCCTGTAATTCCAGTCCCAGAAGGCACAGAAAAGGGAGCCTTCCCCGCCTCCAGCAAGCTGCCTAGGAAAATGAGCTGTAATAATGAGGGATTTCTGGGCTTCACCGAGAGAGCCTTAAGAGGCTAAAGTGAAGGGTTGGGATGGAGCTTAGTGGTAGAGCGCTTGCCTAGCAAGCCCAAGGCTCTGGGTTGGTCCTCAGTTCAGGCAGGGTGGGGGGTGAGGACAAAATAATAAGAGATAAAGATGGAAGAGTGATCGAGAAAGATTTCAGATCTGGCCTTTGGGCCTCCACGTGCACACAGAAACACGTGACCTCACCCACATGTAACCACACATGGACACATGCATATACATGAAAAGATGAAAAAGAAAAGAAAAAAAAAACTTGCAATGAGCTAAGGAATGGGACATTCAGCAAGTTGATACCTCAAGGCTGGAGAAGTGGACAATCTGAGCCTCATTATTTTGGCCTGTCATAGAATGCCCCAGGGCTTGTGTGTTATGACTCTCTCTATTGGAGATGTTTTCTCCTCTTTCTCAGCAGTCTTTACCCTAGAGACTTCCTCATCACTCTGTCTTCTACCTTTGAAAGACCCTCAGAGAGGAACTTTCCTCTCTGATGAAGACCCCAGAACCAGGACACTCCAAGACCAGGCCACAGGATGCAATTAGCAAGAGGTTTATTGAGTAAACACAGGTACCTGCAGGCGGCAAAGTCTTTCGGAGGACTTGCACGCCTGCAGACTGGGGGGAGGTCTTTTTATAGGGAAGAGCAAAAAGCAAGTTTACAGAAGCAAAAGCGTGGTTATCGGTCTATCGGAATGAGGCGGGGGCATGAATGGTTTTCTCTCTCAGCATGGATGCCTGGCCTATCTTATAGATATCCTGTTTTGCAGTCAACCTGCTTTGTTGATGTCCTATCTTATTGACATCCTGCCTTGCAGTCTTCCTATCTCATAGACATCCTGCTCTCTCAAGCACATGGGATGTTCTTACGAGAGCAGGCTGGCTGCTGATCCGGAGAATTTTTTTTAAAGCCAACAGGACGTTCCCCCGGGAGCATGCTAGCTGCGGGTTTTGAGGAGGGGGTCTGTAGGGTCTTTCACCTTCATTCTGGAACTCCTTCTGAAACTCACCCCCTTATGTGGTATTCAGTGTCACTGACACCCCTACATTTTAATCACTAATCCGAACTTCTGTCTGAGTGCCAGACTTCATGTCTGACCACTCAGTGTGGTTTCCACGTGGATACCTCATAGCAGTTATAGACTGGAGAGGTACCTCACCCCATACTCTGCTGAGCCCATTCATCCCTCTTCCTCCTCAGTTCACACAAGTGGCCAGAAGATGAGGCAGGTGCTTGTGTGCTGGGCAGTTGACATGATCTCTTTCAGTACTAAGCATTCTCTTACCAAATACATGTGCAGTGGAAGAACGCTCTTATATCCTGTAAAGATTTTTTTACTTGTATTGGTTTAATAAATGCCAATTGGCCAGTATCCAAGCAGGAAATATAGGTAGAGTGATCCAACTAGGAGAATTGGAAAGAGGGAACTGGGAAGAGGAAAGGCTCACTCTGCAGTCACCAGCCAGATGCAGAGGAGGCAAGATGAGAAAGCCTTACTGAGTAAGATACCAAGCCACGTGGCTAAACATAGATAAGTATTATGGGTTAATTTAAGTTGTAAGAGCTAGCTAATAATAAGCCTGAGCTAATAGACCAACCAGTTTACGATTAATATAAGACTCTGTTTTGTTGGGACTGAACAGCTGTGGGACTGAGTGGGACAGAAACTTATGTCTGTATACATGTTTTTTAATCTCCATTTCATAGATGAAGGCACCTGAGCATTAGATTATCTATCCAGATTTACAGGTTTAGCAATAATCAATGACTAACTCAGTGACTGGTACATAAAGATCCTCCCTCCACCTGTCATATTTCTGTTAAATCATTTGATATATCTCCCCACCCCACCCCCCAAGTTACCAGAATTGTTGGTATCAAGTCCTGAACGCTGGCAGCCCTAACAAGCTAGCCCTGGCCATCTGTCCTCCAAACACTAGTTAAAGAGTCAGAAAAGCAGCCGGGCAGTGGTGGCGCACACCTTTAATCCCAGCACTCGGGAGGCAGAGGCAGGCAGATCTCTGTGAGTTCGAGACCAGCCTGGTCTACAAGAGCTAGTTCCAGGACAGGCTCCAAAACCACAGAGAAACCCTGTCTCGAAAAACCAAAAAAAAAAAAAAAAAAAAAAAAGAGTCAGAAAAGCATGAAAGGCAGAGAAAAGAGATGACCATGCGCTAAGAAGAGACACACAATGAGGCCTATGACCCAGGTCCATCTCTGTCCTGACATAAGGCACCAGGCATAGTGGTGCACATCTTTTTTTTTTAATATTTATTTATTTATTATGTATACAATATTCTGTCTGTGTGTATGTCTGCAGGCCAGAAGAGGGCACCAGCCCTCATTACAGATGGTTGTAAGCCACCATGTGGTTGCTGGGAATTGAACTCAGGACCTTTGGAAGAGCAGGCAATGCTCTTAACCACTGAGCCATCTCTCCAGCCCCCTAGTGGTGCACATCTTTAATCCCAGAATTTGGGAGGCAGTGGTAGGCCTTTTCTACTTAGCAAGTTCTAGGACAGCCAGAATTACTTAATGGAATTCTGACTTGAAAAAACAGTAATCAAAGAAAACCTCCAAAGGCATACCGTCAACAACTCTTCTGCACCTGGAGCTTCAGTGAGCTCCAGGAATCCTCCTGTCTCCACCTCTTCCCCAGGCTGGATTTCAAACATCAACTGCTGTGCCTGGCTTTTACATGAACACTACGGATCTGAACCCAGGTCCTCATGTTTGTGTGGCAGGCACTCTACATACTGGGCCATCTCTTCAACCCCCATTTTTTTTAAAGCCTATACTTACTATACAAAAATGAAATAACAACACGAGCCACTTCTTAGCTAATAAGCTATTTCTATTCTTCTCAGTAAATCGCCTGTTTCCATTCTGCCACCGTCTGGTAAATCAAGGAGAGTAGAAACCATTCTTCCTATGTTGAGGGTTTGACACTAGGCCATTGTTCCCGAAGTGAGAGGGCCATGTGGGCTCCAATCAACGTTTCTGGAATATTGCTGGAAAAGCAATTCCCTAGGTTGCGGTAAAGAACTAAATGGAATAGTAGATTGTCTTTATTTATGTTCTATTGGTGGTATAAACCCCATCTTCCTAAAGTACAAGCTGAAATGACCGATCGAGCCAGCATTTCTGGAACTCCCTTTCCATCTGAGACTTCAGGTTGGTCTCCTTCCTAGACCTAGAGATCTTCCCGACCAGAATTCATGGTTGCCTTCTCTCTATTTTGACTTAAGGGCATAGCCAGGCACTTAAAGGATTCAGAAACTTTTCATGAGTTACTGACTGAAGTACGGGACAGATCCTTATCCAATAATCCCAAGTCAAACACGTGTTTAAAATGAACCTCGCCTCTTATGTCAAACGTCAGCTCTGTTCCACTCATCTGTCTGTGCCTCATTCCTTACATCCATTAAGAGGAAGAAGACAGCGCTCTCTTAGAAGTGGTTGCTAAAACGCACATCTGCTGGAGCCAGAGGCGAGCGGTCCAACAGGTGGCAGCCGACCAGAAGGCTCGCGGGCGGGGTCCAGGCTCCGTGCCAGGCCAAGTGCACACACCTGGGGGCGTGGTCTAGAGGGCGTGGCCAGCCGAGCTCCGGGGGGCGTGGCCAGCGAGCCGGCGCGGGCGGACGGGCAGGCGGGGAGAGGCCAGGGGGCGGGCGGGCCTGTGTGTTGGCGGCGCCGAAGCTCGCGGGAGCGGCTTGGGAGCTCGGCCGCCGGGAGGAGGCCGCGGCCACGGTGAGCACAGGCGGGTTCGCGAGCGAGCGGGAGGGCGGCTCGGAGGCCAGGCCGCGGCACTTGGCGAGGGAGCGGGTGCCGGGAGGCCCGAGCGGCGGGGACAAAGGGCCGCGGTGCTTGCCGCCTCCGGGATCCCCGGGTCCGGGCGCCGGTGCTCGACGCCCCTCCCTCCGAGGAACGCCGGGGTCTCCTGACTCCCGGGGGGACGGCGAGCGGACGCTTGGGGAAGCCGGAGATGTCTGTGGGTCCCCGCGGTCGGTGGCTGCGGGGGCGCAGCAGCTGCGGGCAAGTTGCCCACAGACACGACTGGTCGGCGCGGGGAGCGAACGAGAAAATTGGATTACTAACGGTCTCCTGCGGAATGTTTTGTGCCAGCGGTCAGGAGCGCCCAGGACTTTCTGTTTCAAAACTGAGTTTTACAAAGCCCCGAGTGGAGCGCCGTCTCTTCCTTTTCTGACCAGCAGGGTCCACCTCTTAACCCTCCTTCCCTGTGCCAGAATTGTAGTTTATTGTTTGGAGGGGATTTATTTTTATTATATTTTTAAAAAATGTATGTGCCTATCTGTGTGTGTATGCACATTTCCGTCCTGGTGCTGCTCGGGGCCAGAAGAGGGCGTTGGATCTCCCGGAGCTGGGCTTACAGGCAGTTGTGAGTGCTGCCAGATATGAATGCTGGGAACCGAACTCAGACCCTTTACAAGAGCAGCCAGTGGTCTTATTTTTATCTTTACTTTTAATTTATTTGATTTGGAAGTAAAACTGGCCTGCAAATCATTATCCTTCTGCCATGTTTGCCAAATACGGGGGCTACAGGCATGTCTGACCAGATCCAGCTAATATTTATTTTCATTGATTTTATTGTGGATTTGTGTTTTAGCCTTAAATTATATCTTGTAAGTTTTTATTTTATGACTATTAGTGTGCGCATGTGTTGCACACCTGTGCACCTGTGCCATGGTATGTCAAAGGACAACTTTGGAGGGCGGCAGCTCTCTCCATTAGGAGTTTGAGGAATAGAATTGACCAGCCAAATGCTTTTACCCACCTAACAGACTTGCCAGCCCCAAATTATAACCCCTGTGAAAATTTGTGTTGGTTCCCTCCCCCTTTATTTTCTGTTTGTACTATAATACCTTAGTAATGGAGGACTCTATGGTACCAACAGAAAGAATATTTTCACGCTTACCCACAATTCTTAATGCAATTAATAATTTATTGGCATTTGTTATTGGTACATTTATTTGAATGGTTGTGGCTTCCACTCCCCTCTCTCTCTCCCCCCCTCTTTCTCTTTCTCTCTCTCTCTGAAGTATTTACTGACAAAATGAGATAATCATTAGGATAATTTTCATTTGCAGTTTTGTTTTGATACTATCATTTTAAAAATTGGAGCAGAAGTTATAGTTTGTGGTGGAAACACACACAGTGAGGCCCTAAGTTCTACCTCCAGCAGCACCTATATACACATACACAGAGACTTTAAAATGCATTAAAATAATACAGTATTGATATTTTTGAAGATGTATTTTTGTTATTTTCAATTATGTGTATGTGTGTGCAGGTGCCCTAGGAGGTCAGAGGCTTCAGCTCCTCTCCCCCTGGAGCTGAAGTTCAGGTGATTGTGAGCTACCTCAGATGGGCCCTGGGAACTACGTACTCTTGACTGCTGAGCCATCCCTCTAGCCCTGAGTTCAGTTCCCAGCACCCACATCCCAGCCACACAGCCTCTTAAGTCCAGCTCCGGGATACAACGCTGTCTTCTGGCCTCCAGCAGCACCAGAACCGAAGTGTGCATGCACACACAGACATGCACATAATGTTTTAATAGTTCTTATATGAGTTTAAATACTGGGATTGGATTTGACCAAAGTCTGAAGTTGAGATTTGAGTAGTAGCGGTGCAGTTGGCACTGCTTGCAGATTGCTGGGCGCTAGCCATGTTCACTGTAATTTTTTATCATGCCTGTAGTAGTAGTATTCTAGGTTTCTTTAAGGATGGCCACCCAAGCCTGAAGTTTTGAATATTTAAGTAATCTTTGAGAATGATCTTCAAATGATTCCTCAACGTTTTTGACACAAGCAATTAATTCTAGGCTTATGTTGGGATTTTTTTTTCTTCTTGTTTGATTTTGTGACCTACCACTTGCCTTTGAGTTAAAGTTTTTGTGTGTTTGGTTTTGTTTTTAGCTTCCTGGCAGTTACTGAGGGGCTTCTTTGAAGAACCATGAAGTCACACTATGTTGTGCTAACCCTAGCCTCCCTGGTGTTCCTGACGAGCCTCCCTGTGTCACAGAGCTGTAACAAAGCTCTCTGTGCTAGCGATGTGAGCAAGTGCCTCATTCAGGTAGGATAAAAGGTGCTTTTGTTGATATTGAAACATACTGTGAACAGGTAGACACTGTGGAATAAGTCAAAGTCAGAGTATATGGTCTGAACTTTGGGCCAGGGCCAGAAGTGCTGAACTTTAGATTTTTATCTCTATGGCTCTCTTCCATCCGACCGAGGTTGGGTTTAATAAGTTCGATTTAGAATGTGCTATTCTGCTGTGTAAGCTGCTGTACATGTTGAGCACGCTAGTCTCTATAATCTAGCGTGCATGGCGGTGTCTTAATAACTATATTTAGAAAACTTTTAGCCTATCAATTAATAGACAAATTATTACATGTACTGTATTATTTTTTGGTTGCTGTGTAACAGATGATATCAAAACCTAGCAACCTCAGGCAAAAGTGCATCACCTCCTGAAGCTTCTGAGGTCGCGGGTCTGGGAAGCAGTGCGGCTGGGAGGTTCTGGGTCAGGCTTGCTCACAAGGTTGCGGGCTGGGATTATCGAATCTCCTTCCAGGTATTTGAAAATTAGCCTTTCCAATCGAAGCCCGGTGATCAGTGTAGTTACCTCCCGTTGTCCTGAGGCACAAGTGACAGGAAGCCACTTTTGGTGAGGTTCGTGTAGCTAGGAAACAGCTGTGGGATTTGGTCTGTTTTTGTCTCCAGCGCCCATGACTTTTTCACTCAGCATACTGGCTACCATTCTCCATGCCGCTGTGATAGTTAGTGATGGATTACATGGCTTCTCCTCCCATCCCATCACCAGTCTTTCCTTTGGGGTGCCTGTCTTTTGTAGCCTCCTCTGGAGGTGCTGGCTGTGGCCTCGGAAATGTAATAGCTATGCACACAGGTTGAATATTCCTTATGTGAAATGTTTACACTCAAAAATGTTTCATATTTGAATTTTTTTAGATTTTAAAGTTTGTGTGTGTGTGTGTGTGTGTGTGTGTGTGTGGTGTGTTCAGGTACCTTGGTAATGGGACACAATCTAAAGACAAAATAGGTTTATATTTCATGTATTGAGGGTGATCTTGAGCAGTATTTTTAGCGTTTCTGTCAGATGTGGAATTTTCCACTTGTGATGTCATGCTAGTGGTCAGTACATTTTAGAGTCTGGAGCCTTTCAGGTTGCACATTAAGGATGAGAGCCACACAGTCTGTATTAGCTTTCCCTGTAGAGCGTGAGTCAGCTGACTTTGGCTGTAATTCTCACTTGAAAACACCATCTTAAGTTTTTATAGAGCAAAGGTCGTTTGTGCCTATTCCTGATATTTTCTTCCTTTTAGTTAGTAATTGGAACTTTAGGTATATTAATCACATACTCTGATAGAATCTTTACTTTGCCTTTTAAATCAAAACATTTAACTAGAGAAAATTGTTATTAGCTGACTTTAACTTTTTTATGTCTTCCTTCATATATGTATGTGTATATATGTGTGTGTGTGTGTGTATGTGTGTTGTAGGTGAACATGTGTGTGGTGTATGTAAGTGTATGTGTATTATAAGTACACATGTGAGTATATATGTGTTGTAGGTGCACATGTGTGTGGTGTGTGTATGTGTGTTGTAGGTGCACATGTATGCATTTGTCCTTGTTTGTGTGGACGTATAGCATGAATTCTAATTGGTCTTAATAAATAAAACCCAGAGTCAGATATTGGGGTGAAAGCTGAAGGATCAGGGAAGCAGTGCCATCAGCCACTAGAGAGACCCTTAACCTCTACCGACGCTCAGGCGGAAGGGGTGATCCTGTCCTCAGAATGCATCCTCAGACTGTGTCTTCAGACTGCACTGAGCTCCTGTCTCCTTCTGCCTTATATTCCTCTCTCCACCCAGTCATTTCACTCCTGTTTCTACCTCCCTAGTGCTGGGATTAAAGGCCTGTGATTCCCAAGTGCTCGGATCACCTTTTGTGAGCTCTGTTTCTCTTTTAGACAGATTCAATCTTGTGTAGCCCAATGTGACCTTGAACTAACAGGGATCCCTCTGCTTCTGTCTCTTGATTCTGGGATTAAAGGTGTGTGCCACCACTCCTGGCCTCTAGTGGCTTTTCTCTACACTCTTTTTCAGGCAAGTTTTATTTGTTAAAGCACTAACAAAATACCACTCCACGGAGGCTAGAGGAGGATGTCAGGCATCTGTCACTCTCTGCCTTGTTCCATTGAGACAGGGTCTTTTACTGAACCTGGAGCTAGGCTAGTGGCTACCAAGCCGCAGGGAGCTGTCTCACAGCCCAGGTTATTCTGAGCATGTTTTGAAGTATGTACAGAGAGAGGAACAATGAACCATTCATCCACAGTTAGAATGGTTGCTGTCATTATTTTGTATTATTTTCACCTTAGCTCTGTTTCAATTTCAGGCCAGTCCCCATTTTGTTTTATCCATAATTCTATCTGCATGTTTAATAGATAAGAACTTGTATGTGTGCATGTTTGTATATGTATATGCGCGTGTGTGTCAGCCTTGAGTGTTGGTACTCACCCTGTTTTTAAGGCAGGGTAACTCCCTGAGACTTGAGGCTTGCTGCCAGGGTAGGCTATC